ACCCCTGAGGGCCTCGACGCTCTTCGCCCCCAAACTCCCTTCAACTGCATCAGCCGCTGCCACCATCTCTCCTGTGAGCGCAGCACTCCACAGCGCGGGCCTTCGCTGTCAGCGGGAGGAGGAGAAGGCCAAAGTCACGCAGGGCAGGGCCCGCGGGGAGCGTGACTGTCTGCAGGCAGTATTCCTCTGCCCGTCAACACAGCACAGGAGGCCAGGCATGTCCTGTGGCGTGGACGCCAAAGCCACGGTGAGCCCATGGTCTTTTCTGCATCTCCGGAGACAGGCGAGTCAATCCAAGCCAATGCATGTTCAGTGCGTCCTTAAACCGATTCTGACTCAAACCCGGAGACGGCTGGGCCCTCTTCCAAGAAACGTGAGTCACTGTGAGCTATCTCTTTCAGTTGTCTCCAGATCTCCTTGGAATTTGCCAGATAAAGAGGTGATTTGAAGGTTGTACGGAATGCACTATCTGCCTTCCACCAGGACTTGAGCATCCGGGTAGGGCCCCGGGTTGCGCCGGATGACCCACTTGCTTGCCTCCATCTTGAGGTGCCATAGCAACAAGAAATCAACGAGAAGTCAACAGTTAAATGAATAATTTACTGATTTCATAAGAACCTGCCTTGCAATTTATTGTTCTATTATCTTTCCTGCCCGTGTCTCAACTCCGCTATATAAACGCTGCAATCAAGCTGAGTAGCATTTGAGAATCTAATAAGCATATACAACTCGGGGCTCCAGGCGACAGGAAGAGATGTCCTTGGAGGGCAGCCCTGCTCCCTCGAGGTTGGATTCCACCCCACTGCCTTCTCCTCACCCCTTTGGCGAGAGGGTAAAACGTGAGGATGCAAATGACCTCCAATAAGCTTTACATCTCCAAACGAAATGCTTTTCTTCCTGGTGATAGCTGAAGGCAGAGATGAGTGGCACGCAGAAGTATTATGGGGAAGAAATATCACCGGCAAGGATCTACCAATTGTCACTTTCAAAGTCCCCTAAAGAGACCTAGTTACTGGCAAAGGAGAACAGCACACACACACACACACACACACACACAGTTTCAATGACAATGGTGGTGCTTTAAAGGCTCCTTCGGTAGCATCACTGATACCGTTTTAGTGGCAGAAGCGCATCCTGTCACTCAGCCTCAGTTTAAGGGGTCGTTATGAAGACAATACAGTGGCAGCAGTGTTTGCTGACTTCTTTATTCGGGTGGAATAGGTGGCAGATTATTTTGGTCCTGTGCTTCTCAGCAGAAAGGGTGCATCCTTGGGAAATGCTCTGCCTGCCTGCTGCTGCTCTGCAGTCTCCTCGAGGAAATCAAACAGAGAAGCAACTACTAAGCACGGGGAAATGCAGACTCCAACACCCTGTCACTTAGAACTCTGGTTGCCTAGGCCCTGGGTGGTCAACAGCTGGGGAGATCCCTGCAGCGATGCATTAATTACAGGAAACCCAAAGGAGAGGGTCTCCCCTTCTTCTGGGCCTGGGGGACCTGACCACCTCTGACAGTGAGTCATTGGAATCCTGGAACACCACCATTCCCTATCAGTGTCAACTCCAGCCTACCAAGCCTGAGACTGCCTTCCTGTCAAGACCTCCCACCCCTTTCTCTCCCAAGAAACCCTGAAACGGGCACAGCACGTTTAGGACCCAAGTCACACCTCCTTCAGACAAGCTCGCCTCACACTGAGGAGCCACGGTTCCGTGGCTGGGCTGTCAGCTGCCTCATAAAATCGTGTCACGCAAGTTACTCGGGCCAACTCCGTGGCCCCAAGACTGGGACAGCTTGCCCCCAAAGGAGAAGGTGGCAGCGTTGAGAACACAGGATTTTTGTACTAAATCTCTTCTATTTATAGCGCACCGTCTCTGCAGCTGAGGTCTGAAACCCAGCCAAGCTCAGGCAGAGGTAGGCCTGTTAAGTCCTGCTCACATGATCCAGTCTCGGAACTCTGACTGTATTAGGCACGGGCTTGGGCTCAGGCAGATACTCTGATGAAGGTGACAAGAGACCTCTTCTCCAGCTTGTGAGCCCCCGGGCGGCTGCGCGGGCCTGAACCGCAGCTCATGTCCAGCTGGTCTTGCTGACCACTTGCAGGGACCCTGCGGAGAGGTCACAGCGTGGTGTGCTTTTATTGTTTCAATCCCTCGGGTCCATTATTTCTGTTTCTTCTCATCTTTTTACTATTTTTCTTCTTCTTGCTTGCTTGTGGTTAAGGGAGACATTGATGGACGCGAACCCCAACCCTCTCTGTCTTTACAGCTCTTTCCCCCGTTACTGAAACGTGGTCATCGTTGGAGTCGGTACTGCAGCTCAGATTCCGGGCCCAGGGCTTGCAGAAGGCTGTGGTCTACAGCGGGAGCTCCAAACCCACTGTGAGTCTACACGCCCATCGGGCCTCCGTGGAGCCCTTTCTGATCGCTGCCTGACAAAGGGAAAAGCTGCAAGCAGCGTGTGCTTGCCCGGACACCCCTGGTCAGCCCTCCCCTGGGGGGTGGGTAGGAGTCTCCCCTTCTTGCCTGCGCATGCCCTTGATGGGAACTGGGGGACCAGGGCTCCATGGTTCTGAGCCACACCCCAAGGTCCTGCACCAACCTTGTCAACGTTTCCAGCCTACAGCAGTGCCTGTACCCCTGTACCATGGCCCTTCCCGCATTCTGCAGGCCCACCTCCAACAGCGATCTGTCGCCCATCATGACTGGATGGCGGAGTCCCTTGGATTCCCGTATTTCATAATGTGGCCAAGTGGATTCTATCAACATCCTTACGTTCTCATGGTGAAGGTCCCTCTCATCCGATTAAGTTTTTTGTCTTTTTGTCCCGTTTAAGGCTTAATAATGGGCGCTCTCTAAAGTATCTTTGCTTTTGGGGCCACTTTCCCCCAAAACAAACCCCAGGGCATCTGAAGGGGCCCAGGGTGCAAACGTGTTTTGTGACCCAACTGGACCTACCCAGGCTCTCAATGTGCCTCTGTAAAGATTACAGCCAAGAACCCCCTAGGGGCAGTTCTACTCCCTAACCCCTGGGGTTGCCAGGAGTGGGGGGGCTGACAGCTGACCCCCACCCACGCTGCAGGATGTGGGGTCACACGAAATGGGAGGACCCCTGGAGGTGCCAATTGTTTTTGTTGGTTGCTTACCTGCTTTTTTTTTTCACTGTGCAACCCACCTCGGTGCCTGAAGCCCAGGGGGTGAAGCCCAGCAATGGCTCGGGGCTACAGGTTGCTCTGGCACAGGACACTGTGAGAGGCCATGGGGTCGGACCTGCCATCAATCCAAACCCACGCACACCTGGTGCCAGTGGTTAAGCACTTGGCTGCCAGCCCAAAGGTTAGAAGCCACCCTGTGGGACCAATGGCCTGGAGATCTCCTCCCAGAAACTTAACAGCAATGAAACCAAGCCAGAGGCACGGCCATCCAGCCACTTCCAACGCCGATGGCCTTCAGGAGAGAGGAGAATGGCTCCGGGGCTTGTATCATTCAGGTGCACATGGCCACAGCTTTCTCCCATGGAGCAGCTGGTGGATTGGAACCACAGACCTTTCAGGCAGCCCAGCACGTGGTCACTGAGCCACCAGTGGCCCTGTGAGGATTACAGCTGAGAAAAGCCTCTGTGGTTGATCTACGCTGTCACGTACGACCATGGCGTGTTGGGATCAATCCGCCAGTGCAGGGTGCCTACGGCAACTACGTGAGAGAGAAGGGATAATGGTGGTGCGTTTATTCAAGCCTTGCATTTGAATTCCTGCAAGACCCTGGACACCTTACTTGACCTCTATATGCCTCGGTTTCCCCGTGTATGAAACATACAGATTCTCAAAGAGGATCAAGTGGACCGAGGGTGTGCACCAAAGGCTCAGGAAGGTGCCGTCCTGGCACAAAGTAGGCTTGGGGATGGGAGCGCCTCACTGCCCCAGTGACACCCCACCTCGGAGAACAGCCTTTCCCCATAGCCCTTCTTTTCCTGGGAACCCAAGTTTCTCTCCTGCCAGGTCTTGACTTGCCCTTCCGACTCCCGTCAAATGGGGTTGGATCACTCAGGGCTATGATGCGGTGTGGGGCTGAACCTTAAATGGAAAGACAGGCCTTTGGCGGACCTTGTCCCAAGCAGGGCTGAGCAAACAAAACAATTTCCGACAAGGACCACACAGTCAGCATACTGAGTCCAGAGAAGCAGCCCAGGGCTCGAAAACCCCAGGAATCTGTGCTCCCAGGGAAACGACCCTTTCCCGGACCCCATGTGCCCCACACACGAGTGAAGAAGGCCCCCCAGCCCTCAACGTCCCACCCCCTCTAAATGCCTAGCGACCACTGGACTCACTCTCCATCCAGCCCTCTGGCCACTCAAGTCCTCCCAGGTCGCTCCTTGGGGCTCACAGTGCCTCTCCCATCCTTTGGCCTTTTCCTCCACATTCCTCACCCCCCAGCCACACATTCCCTTCTCCTCTTCTGCCTGGCACTCCTTCACCGAATGGAAGCTCTGTGAGGGCAGGGTCTTGCCAACGGACACATCCCAGGACCTCGGAGGGCACGCCAAGGGCCATCGGTAAGCAGGCGGATGGATGGCAGAGCATGTGTGCGCGCAGAAGCAAAAGCAGCCAGGAAGCACTGTCTCAAAGGACCCCCACTGGGGTCCATGCCTGTTTTCTACAGGGATGACATCTGCAAGTCAGTGGCAGGAAGGCCCCAGTGCCACATCTATGAGCCCCCCAGGACTCTGAGACCCACGCTGTGCTTCCTCCTATCTCTGGGGCAACAACAGGAACCTGCGGAAACCCAATCATGTGGCGCTCGCTGGCCTTAAAAGTAACCCAAAGATGATGTCGGTGGTCCGGTTTGAGGGCAGACGGCTTCAGAGCCCGCGGCCTTGCCTTTTGTCCAGAAACTAAACTATTTGGCAAGGCAGTCTGATTTCAAGTCCAGAGTGAGCTAACAAAGGCTTCTCCGTCAAAGAGAATGACTTGGAATTTTGTGGTGGGACGCCATCTCGAAGCACGTATGTTCGAGCCAGGAGGACACTGAGGAGTGGGGCCTTGCAACCCCCTTGACTTGGACATACTGACTCTGACCACGGCTCCTTCTTGAAGCAGAGCACCGCTATGGCTTAACAGGAGACCCCCTGGGTGGACCATTGCCGATACTGAGGAGATGCCCTGAAAACCTCTCCGGGTGGGCGAGTCCTCATGACACCAAGTCGGGCAGGGGGTCTGGGCCCTATCCCTCACCGTGAACCCCATGCCCTGAGCTGCAGCCAACACCTGACAACGAGGAGGGGAGGTTCCTCTAAGCTCAGGCTGCTCTGGGGCGTGTGTCAAAGGGGCCAGCCGGGGGCCATCGGGGCTCTCGCTTCCAGAGAGACTAAACACAGACAAAGCCTCATCCCCGTGGAGTCCATCTGACTGATGCAGCCTCGTGGTACACAGGGGAACTCGGCGGTCATCTTTGTGGAGGCTGATCAGCAGGGCTGTCTGTGGCGGGGACACTGGGGGAGAGTCACAGGGAGGTGGTGGGGCGAATCGCAACCCATGAAGTCAGCAGTTGAGCACCGACTGCTGTGCCCCCAGGTGTCCAAGGCCTTTCACATACCCCCCCCTTAGGATCACTGCACACTCCCCACCCGGCTGCCAGGACTTCCCCAGGAGGGCCAGGGGAGCTACCCCCCAACAGCTAGGGGCAGAGGGCTTCTTCTGAGGGTCCCAAAGTCTACAGGAGTGGTCTGGCTCAGACAAAAATCCCTTTGACTTTGACTTCCTTACTTTCAAGCCCTGGTGATAACCAAAGGGTCAGCGGTTTGAACCCGTCAGCTGCCCCACGGGATAAAGATGTGGCTGGCCGCTCCATCAAGGTCACAACCTTGGACATTTGGGGGACCATTCCACCCTGTCCTGGTCGGCTGCTAAGACTCAGCACCCACCCCAGGGCAATGGGTTCGGCTTGGTTTCTTTGCAGTCGGCCCCCTCCCTAGAGGCCCCCCTGCCTGGGTGGGTTTCCCGTGCACACAGGGGGAGCGGGGAGTGGGATGACCCAAGAGAGGGAGAAAGGACGAGGGGCCAGAGTCCAGAGAGAAACCTGGGGGTGGGCTCGGACTTCACTCCGTGCTGTTGGATCAAGGCCAACTCTGAGCCGAGCAGGGTGTCAAAGGAAAACCCATTTCTTAGCAGCCGTGTCAAGCGTTGGGAGCAGGCTAGCTTTCCCTGCCAGAGTCTGAATCCATTAGCAAGCAGTCCGTGTGTCAGGAGGAAGCCCGGCTTGTCAACAGACACGCCTCTGTGAGCCCCCATGCTGTGTTGATGGCTCCAGAGTTCAAATAAACAGCTCTTCGCTCCCTCCCCCCCAAGACACAACACGGGTGCTCGCAGACACACACACACACACACACACACACACACACACACACACACACACTATCTGGAAATGGTCACAGGAGTCTAGGTTTCTGTGCTTCTCTACGGTGAAGGGGCAGGGGCGGAGTCTTGCCGCTTTGTTTCGTGAGCTCAGCGTGGGGAGGCGTGTGGGTACAGGGCAGGTGACCCGGTGCCTCTGCAGGGTGAAGGCAGGAGCCTTCCTGACCTGGCTCTAGCGCAGTGGTTCTCAACCTTCCTCAAGCCACCGCCCTTTCATACAGTTCCTCATGTGGTGGGGACCCCCACAGCCATACAATTCTTTTCATTGCTACTTTATAACTACAATCTTGTTACTGCTATGCATTGAATGACCCTGTGAAAGGGCCATTCGACGACCCCAAAGGGGTCGCGACCCACAGGTTGAGAACCGCTGCTCTGGAGCATCTAGAACTGGTCCCCAGTAGCCTCAGATTTATCACCTGCGAGAGGGGAACACTGCCAACTTCGAAGAGCCGCCAGGAGGATGCTACTGTAGTTGATAGTTGCCGATGCCGCGTGCCTTCCATCTCATGGCGACTCCATGTGCGGAGTCGAACCACGCTTCAAAGCGTTTTCACAGCTGTGACCTTTCAGAGGCAGAAGGTCAGGTCTGTCTCCCACCGCACCTCTGGATGGTTCAAGCCACCAACCAACCCTTGGGCTTAACCATCTGCACCACCCAAGGACTCCCTTGTAAGGGTACGGCAATACATCCCAAGTCTTTCACTCCCTAGGTGGGCAGAGCTACACGGAGGCGCTCACCAAGGGCAAGGCTGTCAGGTGCAAGAGGCCCGCCCGGATCCCTCAGCCACTGGGCGGAAGCCAAGCTAAGCAGGACCGTGCACTGATGCTAGTGGGAAGAAAGGATCACTGGGATTGGGAGTCCCCTTATTTCAGCAGCTAGCATGACCTTTGTTTGAGATTCGAACCCAGGCAGGTGACGTTAGGACTCCTGTTCTTGTCCTTCCCCGCAAATCATTTTACCAGGACCGAATCCAGACATCAATCATCCAATCGTTCGGTCATATCAGGCAGTGCTGTACAATCGCTCCCAAGAACCCCTGCTACCAGCTCACCACGAAACAGCTGAGCAGTTTGAAGACTTCACCTACAAGAGGGGCTCACCCTGCCCTCCCCCAGCGCTCTGATGTGAAGGGGACCCAGCAGACGACTCTGTGCCTTCCAGTTGACTTGGACCCATAGCCCCCCACTCCATGGACGAGAACCACGCTGCAGGGCCTCGGACGCTGTCCTCCGGGCAGCAGCAAGCAGGCTGCCGCATCTTTCTCCCCAGAAACAGCTGGCAGGTCTGAACCCCAACCTTTCTGTTAGGTGCTGCGCCATCAGGACTCCTGAGCGGGCCAGGAGATCCCTCCCCTTCGGAATGCAGTAGGGATGCTGGGGAGGCGGGGGGGTAGTATCTTCACTTAGCCACAGTTCAGGGGTCCCCAGGAAACATACCTGCTGTTATAACCAGAAGGAGCTTCGAATGAATGCAAATCAGCTTCGATAGCCCTACGTGTTGTGTTGTGAGCGGCAGGCACTAACCGTTTGCATGACAAACCTCCTACAAGATGCCGGCTAAACTGCCCTTTTGTGCCAATTAAAGATTCTCCAGAACACAAAGATAACACACCACTCGGCTGCGCTGACAACAATAAAACAATTTTAAGGGCTATTCAGAGCGTCAGTTCACAGTTGACACTGTCGGGAGGAGACTGTGGTGGCTTTGTTCTTCGATGCTGTTGCAGCTCCAAGACTGAGCGAGGGTTTCTGGGCCGGAGACGGCAGCCTGGGGGAGTTGGAAATGCTTTCTTGGAGTTTTTTAAAGGGAAAAACAAACAACTTGATGTTCTTGTGTGCCTGTGTATACCTACACACACACACACACACACACACACACA